TCACTACTTTGTTTTACCGGAATTTAATCATGACAGTTATAAGATCAGTGACTTATTGGTCTTTATGGAAGTACATTTGGACAGTCTTTTACAGGTTACAAAGTCGTGCGGCCCAGACACCGTATCCACTCTCTTTTTTTTACGAAATTACGCAGAATGGTGTTTCAAGTTTCTTTACGTGATTTATTCTTGCAGCTTAAAAAATTCTAAGGTGCCACGAGATTGGAAAGTAGCCAAAGTAGTGCCCATATATAAGAGTGGTGAAAAAAGAGAGTTTTCAACTACAGACCAGTGTCATTGTTGAGTACATGCCGCAAGGTTCTCGAGCACTTTATTTTTAGGCACATAATTACATTTCTAAAATCTGAATCGCTTTTTTTTCATGATGAGCACGGGTTCCAACGAAGCTATTCATCAATGGCTCAGCTCCCACGCACGGTCCACAATTTTACCAGAGTGATCGATGATGAAGGTCAGGTTGCCACGTTTTTGTTTTTCGACAATTCGACAATATGGACAAAATCTATTCGGTTCATTTATATTTTATTACGGGGGTCGGTGGCCGAGTGGGCCAGCGCACAGCAGCTTGGAGCACATGGCGCGAAAGCTCGCGCTGCAGAACCCAGGGTCCTGGGTTCAATCCCCAACCCTGCCCGTTCCGATCTGAATGAGCATCGTAGCGGCGTGCGGTCGTGTACCTCTACTGCGTGGTGCACGTTAAAAACCCAGTCTAGCGGTTGTACTGCACTGGCTAAGTTGCTCATCTACACCTGGGAGACTCGCCGCTCGTTCAGGGAGACAAAGTTCTAGGCTGTACAAATATACATACAACTCCCAACTTTTTTTATACGGCTAAATAATCACCTCTGTTACAGTTGTATGACGCGTCCGGATTGCCCAAGTTTTGCCGAAGGAGAGTGAAGCGCTTGTCATTTTTGCACAACAAAATGCATGATCAAGTAGGTTTTCGTCTAGGCGATTATTTACACTGCAGCCTAAGTCGTGACACAAGGCACACGCAGGAGGAATAGCTCCTGGAGTTCCGCTACAGAAAATATGTTTTTAAGTAGTCCTTTCTTCGTTGCTCTGTTCGTCAATGGTATGTCTTGCCTCACAGCGTTGCAGCGATTACTCTTGCCGCTCTATTTGCTTGTGCAATGGATGACTTTTTTACGCCAATGACTAGCATACTTGCATTTTTATGCATGCATATACTTGTTTGACTTATGATTGCTTTAATATTTTTGCCCAAACCATGCCTTGACCTTTCGAAAGCTGGCCGGTAGTATGATTAAAAATAACCGTTAGTACTGATTGCAACAAATAACTCCCCGCAACTCCCCAAACGAAGTTCAAATCACTAGTAAAATACGCAACTGCGTTACCGATTTTTTTTTCTTCCTTTGACTTGTATATAAGCGGGGAAAGTAGCAAGTTCATCAGTGAAAACAAGACTGGTACCCTGTAGTCCTTCAATGGGTGAGTGTTCGGTTGAACGTGTCTTATTGATCATTTGAGTTTATTGCGAATCGTAATAATTTTATGAGTGGTAACATAATTGACAGTGTGTGAAACGTATTTTAAACACGAAGCGTTCGTTTCTTAGGGAAAATGTTTTTATTTATTTTTTATTTTCGAATACTTTGAGCGAACTATGATCATGATACCTTCCCAGATAGAAAGAAAAATCAACCTATACTGCATTCACCATCCCATATTTACAGCCAAATTAACAGCTGAAAATATGTATATTTACAAGCAGTTTCGACATAAATTATACACAAATGGTTACTAAAACCTGCGCTAGGTTTGTGTTTCCTTTTATTATAGGCGCCCAGTTGATAAAAATGACACAACTCAAACTCTACAAACGAAACTTTGAGGGACGTTCAATGCCCCCCCACCCCCCCCCCCCCCCCCCCCCCCAGTTAAAACAATTAGTCGAACTACTCCGAAAGAGTAGTATTTGAAATGTTACACTCGCAATATTAAAGTTTTGTCATGAAGACATATTAAATATTTTAATGTCTTGGGAACAGTAATTCTTCACAGCACTCCTACAAAGGTCAGATCACGAGGAAAGTACACAACTTCCTTTCTTGCTTTATTTTTTGCAAGGTGAAGCAGGGACCGCAGCGAGTAAATCAGTAAGAAACAAAGCTATTTTACTGAAATTATCGCATAGATGAGAAGGTTCGATTGAAGGCCAGTTTTATTAGTGAGCTTAGTTCAAAATCTATTGAAAGTGCTTTCCCGAGTGGTAGTTTCTTGACGGTTTTCGAAACATGACGTATCTTGAATAGTGAAGGGGAGATGCGTCTTCCGAAACCGGTTTTGGCACGAAAGCTTATGAAGAGCGGCCAAAGTTTGACTGTTTCAGATAGTTTTGGATAGTTAATTAGTGCTGTCAGACCATATTCTGAGCGTTACAACTTCTTGAAACGAAAAATCTTCTTAGATGCATGAACTAATTAATTGTTCAATAAAATATTTCGTTTATATAAGCTTATCTAAATTGCTTTCAAAAAATCTGAAGGCGTATGCTGAGGTCCGCAGTCAGCGCCAACGGTCAAAGTTTTTTTTTTTTTTTTGATTTCCTAACCACGTGATCAAACCGTTGCTTCATTGAACTTCGCAGACGAGCCCAACGGACATCCTCATCATGCCACTCGCCCGAATCAAAATTATTGTCTCGTGAATCAGCTATATTATTCGAGTTAGGTTATTTCTTTTGTGAAATTGCGCAGCTGATAACTCATATTAAAAAAAAAAAAGCAACGTTCGTGACGTTAAACAGAAGCAAGGAAGAAACCGACGAAGCACCAAATTGTCTCGTAGCCAATAGACTGGACCGATTCACGTTTTGTGATGTGTCAGTACGTTCTAATCAAATAAATTCACTGCACCGGGTTCAGGGAGTTCCTTCTGTCTCGATCTAAATATAATCTACAGTGTGCGATGCGCAGTCTTATTTCTTGAGTCTCCAAACTGCCGAAGCCTATGCGGTGAGAAAGCCGTCTGCTTCTTGCACAGGAGTTGTGGTGACGTCAGAACGACGCCGAGCTCTGATTGGCTTTGATTGAAAAGATAGTGGGTGGACCTCAACGCTAGATGCCTTTAGGTCTACACACTATTTTGTTCAATTATCCAATGAAAACTCGACGTTTTGACATCCTCAAAACCCCTGTGCCAGAAGCAGAAGAACTTGCGCTCCGCATTGGATTTCGTGGTGGAAGGAAGTGTCAATCGCGTCAGTTGTCGCTAAGTTCAGGCCCGTAAGAAAGAAAACAAAATGTTTTTATTTATTAAGTTTTACATGTGTGCAGGTGCAGAACCATCCAAGTTGAATGTGTTGATGACCAACTCTCACGATAGCGATTCTAATGAATCCAATTATCCATGCTCGTTGCAGAGCGAAACTGAACTTAGCTAACAACTGGATCCTTTGAAATTCTTGCACTTTTTTTAGACGCGCTACGACTAATAAAACTCACTTTCCATCCCCCTAAAATTTAGTGCTTGTTTTCTGACCATGCACGTCCGCCGCTGCTGAAGCTATAACATACGCTGTGGTGACGTGACGGCGAACCCTCCCGGAACGCAGAAGTGGTCGTAATTTAATCGCAAACGTTCGGAATTTTCGGAAACAGTCAAAAACCGAACCTTCTGTGTATCACGCCATCCCCAGCATTGAGCTTGAAGCGTTCGTTTCTTAGAGAAGTGTTCTCTTTGGTGCTTTCTATGTAAATTATTACAAGAGTGTGAACCCGGACTAACAAGAAGAAAAAAAGGGCCAGACCGCAATCAGTACTTGGGTCATTCTCGAGCTGGAAACATGTATTTTCGCAGGCAGTTTATTAGTATTGTTATTTACCAAAAATCACTAAAAGCTGCACTACATTTGTGCTTCGCATAATTATTGGCACCAGGCCCTTAAAAACATAGTCCGTCAAAATTTATAAGTAATCTTTGACTAATTCCACTTGCCACCGCCTATAATAAAAATAAGTCAAACATCTACGAAAGAAGATTTTATATGTTTCTGGTGAAATACTAAAATTGTCTTCTCAAGGAATAATAACGATGGTGTTAACAAAGGTTCCCCAAACCACGCCTGCAAAGGGTACATTACCAGCAGTGCACGAGGCATCCTTTAATTTTCTTGTGAATCATGCCGAATGGAGGTGTTTTTTTTTTTTGAATAGAAAGCATTGCTGCCTGATGACGCCTCTAGCCCCCTTACAGTTAAAACCAGTACAACCTACAGATGAACTCGTAGACGCGCGCATTAGCAATTCAAAAAATAAAATAGAGCCAAAATTACGCTGACGAAGGGGCACTCGGACCCTTAAATGAAAAACAAAATTAAAAAGTTCTTCAACGGTAATTAGATTTTTTTAATCAGGCACACAATAAAAATATGTGGTTATCTGATATCAAACTAAAAACCATAAATATAAAGCATGTCTTGCGCACCCACATACAGGGACACCTCGAAAGACTTAAAAAAGTATTTATACTTCCTGAATGACTCCGATATCCAATTGAGAACCGTGGATATAAACAAACAACAACACTGGAAAATTAAAACAAAAATGGTGCAAAATTTGGCCTTCTTTCTCAACGTACAACCATTTTAATTCTAGCTTGAAAAACACAGGTTTGACGTTTGAAACGTGGAATAATTCAATTCAAACATAAAGGCATGGTCTACAGTGTCTCTAAACAATTTGCCTTGTTTATGCAATACCGTTCTTTTTTTCTTTTTTGGGGGGCGGGGGGGGGGGGGCATTCAGCCATTTCAAATATTTTGGTGTAAATATCAAACTACGACATTAGAAGACAAATGATATAGATTTATTATTCGAGCGTTCTTACAGGTAAAATTACTTACAGAATACTCCACGGTGATAACTATGTGAATGGTGTTATTGAGCACGGGATTACAGCTTTGAGAAAAATAATTATTCAGTTTCAGAAAGAATAACTCAGACACGTCATCACGTGTCGTTGATGTAAATAGGTCGTTGAAATACACCATGAAATGTAGACGCTTGTAGCTCTTGAGGATAGTCGTATGTTAATTAGATTTCACTGTTAACGATCAAAACGAAATATTGTCGTTGCAGTTGTGCATCGCATTTGTGTGCTTATTAAATGGGAACTCTTTGACCTAAATACACGCTGTTCCTTTGAGAGCGGCATCCTCACCTGAAATTCTCCACTCGGGCTTCATCTGTTGCCTCAGTAAACCCACATTTACGTACGCAGTGACGGCAGCATCCAAAGCATTAACTCCATCCCATGGTTTTATACCGGCGTGGGATTGTCTCCCTTCGTATTCTACATTTTCCTTCAAAGAGAATAATGCAGTTCTGTAACTTGTAACCAGCACATGCAATAATCATAAGATAGTTTTCTAACGGAAAAGTAGAAATAAAATTGTTTCTGATTGATGAGATGTTCGTGAAAGTGCAGTTGCCTCAATAATAAAAGAATGTTTCGCGGAGACTTAATAACATGGAACGAGATTTTACAGGCCGTTTCCGTATTTATGGGGCAAGAATGTTGAACTTGCAGAATCGCGTTACACAAAATATTAACCTTTTACTCACACAAAAAAAATTGCTTATTCACTGAATCATCGTCATATAAACGTATAATTTTAATGCTGGCTGTCCACGATTCTAACTAAAGCCTCAGCCAGGATAAGCACAAATAATAAATCTTTTTGAGCATTGTTAAACGACCGGACCTCCAAAGATTCCAGTAAAACAATCTACAAGGGTAGCCTGAGCAGTTTGTTGGCATCGACTATAGGATCCCAAAAAGGCATAGCTTTTATATTGCACAGATAATGCGAAGTATAACGTCCACAACAATGAAGCCCGTAGAAAATGTTAGTCACCAGTGCTAGCCACAAAAACTTCAACATTCCTTATGTCAGGTGCATATCAGAACATAGATTTGATTTGCTTGAAGCGAAATATATTCCGTGCTTTCATTCCACTATATTTTTCAGAAAAATGCCACCCTGACTTGAAAAACAAGCCAACGTAAATGATTAACGTCCTTACGGGCTTTTGTTGGGCTACTTTGTTTGTCTGTAAATGCGGGCAGCTGAATTTGTTTATAAAACAGAAACGTAAATGAGTGACGGGCAGAAGTGTCCTTCTCAACTCCTTACCTTTCTTTTTCCGGAAAAAAGAGTCAGCTGTTCATATCTACAAGTTAGATTCGTCTCAGCAGATTTTGTTTTTACTTTATAACATTCCGCTTGTCGCAAGGACAATCGTTTCATTAAATAGTAGTTTAATCACATACGTTTTATCAAGCATCCTAGACTTCGTTAAAACAAACTATCCAGGTTGAACTTATATCGCTGTTATAAGTCTGTATTAGAAGTTGTCCTATATTACCATCAGTATTTAAGAATAAGCACGTGATCAAACACATATGAGATTATAATTACACCAAAACCAACTCTTTTGATATTAGAAAGTGAAAGGATACACAAATACTTGCACCTAAGTTTGATTACAGCTCGTGCTGTATAGTCGAGCTGCGCGCCGCTAAAAAAACTCAACCGGCCGGAGCTTTGATCGCGAAACCTCAACAAAACCCACTCTACCAACTCCGTCGTTTGGCGTGAGTTTATGACGGTGCTGTACTGTTGAGATTCAATAACCATATAATGTCGCAGCAGATATAAAAGCTGCAGTTCTAAAAGAAATTCCTCCCTCCGACCTCTTTATTTTTTGTTGCGCTGCTGTTACAGCGTCTGTAATGCTTGTGATGACAGCATTTGGCACATGCGCCAAGCACATTCATTATTGGTATTGTGTCTGCTATTAGCTTTTAATGAAGCCCTTGGTGTGCGTATTCGTAGAATCGGAGTAGTTATTGTCTCAGATGTTATGTTTACATAACAAATTCGCTAAGAATTACAGCATTTCTGATCCTTATTTCTAGGATTTCCACATTACACGTTCGTAAGAGGCTTATTAGTACCCTTAAAAGTGCAGAAGTTGAAGGACATGCTTCGTTCAAGGGCGTCGGATGCGCCATCAGCGCAATCGCCGCATCATCAAAGGCTCCTCCTTGCAAGAGGTGTACTTTTCCGTGTACCGCTTCTTCAGCTGGTGTACCAAGAACAACAACCTGAGTTGTAGAAAGGGTATATATAATCATGATCAGGGTGCGCTTTCAAGAAGAGGACAATATAATAAACTTTGCAGTGACCGTTATTTAAATAGTCCTGTAATGCAAGACATTTAAAGAGCAATCGTTTCAATTCATTCGAATTTTAGACAGTTTCACTGGAAGTCAACGAAAACCTTATTTAATTAATTTCCCCGATGAATTTAGCGGGAAACTTCATTTCTGTATAGGTAACTGGCCAGGGTCCGGCAGTTTCGACCTACATTTTCAGACTCCTCGAGTTAAGCTTCACTGCCTGGTTGTTTGGTTGTAACCTCGCTTATGTGGGTCTTAACTGTTAAACAAGTGTCACAGTCACCTTCACTAACCGGTGCTTCGGTTGTCATATGACACCTTTGGGCCCCAATTACCGTAAAGACGCCAGAATTGGCGTTCCCTGCGGGTTGTTTGATTGTGCCACCATTGGCCCAGGTCTGACATTTCGTCAATTGTGTGGTGAACAGGATAAACGCCAGGTCGCATTTCCCTGGTGAGTTAGTCACACATAAAAATATTTTGATTCCAACTAGCGTCTTGGAGCACAACCTTAATAGCCCCAAGTTAGGCTCCCAGGGCTACCGGGCGTGGGCCATGTTACGTTTTTTCTTGCTTTTTTTTAAATTTTGGATGAGGTTCGGAGCGCATTTTTATTGATATTTTATTTTACTGTTATAAGACTCCAGCAGACCGTAAAGACTGCATATTTCAACATGCCAGATCAAAATTTGCATTTATATTAAACAAACCTTTCCGGCAAGCGATGTGTTTTCCTGAAGCACTTGTTTCACAGCAATGCCAGCAGCAACAGCACACTCAGCGATGAGGTTGTGTCCACAAGCATGTCCAATATCGGGAAGAGCGTCATATTCACACATGAAAACAACCATGGGTCCTTTGCCTGTACATCTCGAAACATGGGGGTAAAGCGAGTGAAACCTCGTTAAAAATGACCGAGTAAGCTGCTCTGTGCACTGCATTTGTGGCACTGCTAAGCCAGTCTGAACTTGTCACTTAGTCGAATTGGGCACAGTCCCGAATATATCCCTCGGACTGAAGCCCATGGTGCAAATAGCCAATGCCACAAGGAATAGATGCTTAATAAATAAAGTCTACCTCCTCGAGCTATACAAAATACAAATACTGTTTTATACTTTTTCCTCCTATCTATCCTCCTATTCATTGTATACTGCCAGTTACAAGTGAAATTGACATAAAATTAAATGAACCTATTCCGCGGAACATTGTGCCGTCCGATAGCTCTGAGTTTATTTTATGAGGAACAAAAAAGCCCGTTCGATTTTGTATATATAGAACTTTGTTCCTCTATATTGTCGATCAGATATGGCGACAGTGCTTAAATAAAAACAAGTCCTGAAACAAAATGTTTTCAAAATGAAACAGTGAACTATTATAATCAATGATGGTGTTATTTTTTAATATCGAAAACGTGTTCTAATATTTACCTACTAGACCAAAGATTGTTATCGATACAATCGTATCTTCGATCGTACACTCAAATTAAAAGTTCGGCTCATGTGAATCAAATAAAAACAAAGAAATATTTGCTAAATCACTTTTATAAATAATAAATGTAGGAATCCGCACTACTAGAGTACTTGTTAAAATATTAATAGCTGGCATTTGAGTTATATTTAGAGTTATAAAATAAGCTATACTTTCCCTTGTCTTTGACCCTACTAACAATGTTACCCTAACAATGTTAAAAGAATGGTTTAAGCTATTCTTTTAACATTGGTATCATTTTTATTTGTGCAATTTTAAAAAAAAATGTTTATTTATATCACATAGTTTGAAAAACAAAATAATGTTCTGTCGGTGTCTGTCACTTTAAAAATCATGTTTTAAAAACTCAGTTTTTTTTATGGTGAAATTCTACTGAAAGACCCTGAGTGTTTTCCTAAATCCGCGAGGGAGGCAAAATTCCGCTCCTTGGAACCCAGTCCAAATCGACGAGTCGAAGATGAACTCGCATTTTTGGAGAGAACCTCCCGAGACGATCGGCCGTTAAAAATGGCCGCTCCTCCAACTTGACGAGCCGACCGACGCCTCAGCAGACTGAGCTTTCCGACGTCCACTCAGAACTGTCACTGCTTAGCTACTAAAGTAACACGCGACACAGGCCGGGCGAAAATATCCCTACCACAGAGCCCGTGTTACAAATAACGAGGAAGACGTCCACGTTGGCCACCTTCACATACCTTTCGGCCGCCTCGAAGGGGCGGGGCACGCACAGTGATCGCTATTGGTGGAGTTCGGATTGCTGGTAAGACTTTAATAAACAGAGAGAGGTAAGAAACCATCACTCGCACGGTCGTTGCCTAATATGTTATTGATTTATTGCATGAGAAAACGCCGGCGGCTGTCAGTGTAAAAAGGTAACCAATTATTGGCTGTAAAATGAGCAGGCCTAACCCTGCGTCTGCCTCCTTAGGATTTTCTGTCGTTCTTTTTCTCGTTCTTCAATTCAAGATAACAGATGTCAGCGCTTACGATTTGCCACGCTCCAGTCCCCCTGTTGAAAAAACCTGCACAGGCTGGTCCCAGCTTCATGCTCGGTTATTGCTGCAGCATGCCCAGTTTGGCATCCTGGTCATGCTCGTTAAGCTGGTCATGCTGGTTCATCTGGTCCTGCAGCTTCAAGTTGGGTTATTGCCCCCGCATGCCCAGTTTGGCATACTGGTCATGCTGGCTGAACTTGTCATGCTAGTTATGCTGGTGGACTTCTATAACAGTTTAACCAGTTTAAATGTATGGGTGGAAATTAAGGCAAGTGACGGTTTTAATTATCTTTTGGGTACGTATTATTTTCCGCCTCTTTCTGACCAGACAGTTTTTATTGAGCATTTTGAGGAAATCAGAAAACAAATTAATTTCGATAAGTATCGTGTGCAAATATATGGAGACTTTAATTTACCAGGTGTTGACTGGGCACTTCAAAATGTGAATAGCAACAGCATCACAACTAACAAAGCATCTTCGTTATTATCTTTTATAAACTTCTGCGGGCTCGAACAGCACAATACGATAAAAAATAGCCTAGGAAATATTCTTTATCTTGCTCTTTCGAATATACCGATTTTAAACTTGAGTCCTGCCTTCGATCCCCTTGTACAGATCGATGTTTCTCATCCACCTTTTATTGTCCAGTTTTATCTTCCCTTCAGGTCACGAGTATCGTGTATGCCATCAAATTATTGCTTTTCGAAAGGTGATTATATGAGTGTTTATAGATCTATCGAGAATTTTGACTGGAGCAATGTTCTTGCTATGTCGGATGTCGATCGCGTTAGCGAGACGCTTACCTCAGTTACTAAAGATGCTATCGATAGCTTTGTGCCTAAAAACATAAACAAAATTTCCATCTATCCTAACTGGTTTTCGCAAGAACTTAAAGTATACCTGCGCAAAAAAGAACATTTTCACAGACTTTTCAAAAATACTGGTTATACACTTTGGTACACCAAATTTAGCATATATCGTGCTTTAGCAAAAAAATTGTTCAAGCGTGATAAACGTTTTCACCTCGATAGCGTTGAAAATAGCTTGATTCGTCGACCAAAAGAGTTCTGGCAGTTTGTAAAACACCACACGCGCGATGCAAGTCGAGGCATCTGTTTACGTGATGATGTAGTGCACACACCGGCCTATCATTCGTCGCCTGATGACGTTGCAAATATTTTTGCCGATTATTTTAGCAAATGTTACACTAGCTGCCACGGGTCTTTCCAGCCTGGTGACGATAAGATAAGCTGTCATGACTTCTTGCATTCCGTACAAGTGGATCATGTCGAAATTGCGGAAGCGATAAGAAAATTAAAACCAAAGTTTTCAAGTGGTGTTGATGGTATACCGAGTTTTATAATCAAAGGATGCGGTGATTTGTTTATTCCCATTTTAAAGCACATATTTAATCTTTCGCTTAGTTCTGGGGTCTTTCCATCTCTTTGGAAGAAATCAGTTATTGTTCCGATTTTAAAGAGTGGTGATGCCTCGGTTATTACGAATTATCGTCCTGTTTCTCTGCTCTGTGGGTTTTCTAAGGTTTTCGAGATTGTTGTACATACCCGGATGCTCTTTTATTTCCGTCAAAAATTAACACCTTTGCAGCATGGGTTCCTGAGTGGTAGGTCTGTCCAGACTAATTTGTGTACTTTTCTTGATTTTTGCGCTCCATTTGTTACAAATAGGGGGCAGGTAGACACAATATACTTTGATATGACTAAAGCTTTTGATAAGGTCAGTCACAAATTACTCTTGCATAAATTATTTTTATATGGTCTATCCCCAGAGTTATGTCTGTGGTTCCAGAGTTACCTGTCACTCCGCTCGAACTCTGTTCGCGTTGTTGATAGTTATTCCCATAGTTACTTTTCAACGTCAGGTGTTCCACAGGGGTCAATCCTGGGCCCTCTCTTGTTTTTAATATTTATAAATGATATAGTATCTTGTGTCCAGAGTTCCCAGTTGTTACTTTTTGCTGATGATATCAAGTTGTTTAGAATGATTCACTCTCCTGTGGACTGCGAGATCCTACAGCGTGATGTGTCCCTCATTTTTCAGTGGTGTGAACAAAATCTATTATTGCTTAATCCTGCAAAAACAAAGGTCCTATCCTTGTGCCGACGCCATGTGCCTTTCAGTTTTACTTATCATCTTGATATCATGCCAATTGAACGTGTACTGTGTGTGAAGGATCTTGGCGTGTACGTAGATAGTGCCTTGTCTTTTAGAAATCATGTATCTTTTCTGGTAGGAAGTTCTATGAGAGTTCTGGGAATCATATCACGTTTGTCGAAGAATTTCAGGAGGCCTCATTGTTTGTTACATCTTTACAAATCTTTAGTTAGGTCACGTTTGGAATTTGCCTCGGTAATATGGAACTCAATATCTAGGGCACAGGCCTTGACCATCGAAAATGTTCAAAAAAGATTGATTCGTATTGTTTACGATAGGTACTTTGAAAGGCGCTGTTATTATGACTATGAATACATACTTAGGTCATTTTCGCTTACACTCTTGTCTGAAAGGCGAACGATTCATGATTTTGTATTTTTGCATAAGGTTGTGAATAGTGTAATTGATTCGCCATCAATGCTCAGCAAAGTTAATTTTCATGTTAACTTACGCCATACTAGACATCCTGTATGCTTTGATGTACGTTCACCTTGTTGTACTTCACCGCTTTCTCGGATTCAGACATTATACAACAGCATTGCTCCTAAGCACCTCGATTTCTGTACATCCATTTCATTGTACCGCCATCAGTTGAATAACCTTGTAATTTACTGATAACATTTTGTTTGTTTATTTGTTTTTGGGTGATGGTATTATACCAACGTGTTTCTAGGATTGAACAGGTGCACCAAAGTGAAGACCGCTGTGGTTGTTTTTGGGCACTGAAAATAAAGTCATTATTATTATTATTATTATTATTAAATTGATACACAAGATAAACAAGCCAAACTCTTCAGAAAAACCAGCTCTGCATCCAATTTATTATTTTCGTACTCGCGGCTTGCTCCCATGAGCGCAGATGCTACGCATCCTCTGCGCTGACACAGGACTAACCGACGCACGGACAGTGGTTTCCGGTGCAAAACAAAAATGCTATAAAAACTAGATTGCTTATCTTTCAACACAAAAAAAATACTACACACATGTCAGAAACAGCCAATAGCAATGAAAAATACTACACACATGTCAGAAACAGCCAATAGCAATGAAAAATACTACACAGATGAGAAAAGCGAACCTGGGTCCCGCCAGTAATGGGGACGAAGCGGCCTCTTGCTTACTCGGCAGAGGCGAGGAAATTCGTGTGGCTTGGTTGGCATTGGCGAAACTCCGCGGCACCATTGTCATTCACGAGCACTCACATGTTCGAAGACACGAAATGACACCTCAGTCGGGGTGTCCGACTTCGTCCCGCGCTGAACGGACGGCCGCTCGCTGTCTCCTCAAAACCCGCTTCGCTTGAACCGTCGTTCAAGTAGTCTCCAAACAACGCGCACACAGCCGTCCCTTCGAAAAAATGCCCAAAATAGCCACACCTAACACTAAAAAACGAGCGTGTCGGTAAATACTTAAACACCGGAAAGAATAAACACAAATTCGGGACGCAAACAGACGATACAACTCTTTCAGCCGACGTTCGGACGAGGACAAGACATGTAGCTGACAAAACTTGATTAACATTAAAAAACGAGCGTGTTGGTAAATACTTAAACACCGGAAAGAATAAACACAAATTCGGGACGCAAACAACAATACAACAGTTGTATCGTCTGTTTGCGTCCCGAATTTGTGTTTATTCTTTCCGGTGTTTAAGCCACACCTGTCTCCGATTCTCCGCTCCTACAACTCCCTCTCTCTCTTTTCTCGCACACAAAGGAAGCTCGCAGCGCACCTGAAGTGCCCGGTTGTCTGCCAGAAACGAGAGGACAAAGAACAGGACGCTCCCTCGTCCCAGCCCAAGCTGACCTTGGCGTGCGCGCTCCCAGCAAGACCAGCTTGACCAGCTCGAACCAGCTTGGGCCTGCTTCAGCACCAGCTCGAACCAGCTTGACAGGCTTGAACCAGCTTCAGTACCAGCTCGAACCAGCTTAAGTACCAGCTTGCCAGCTGCAGTGCCAGCTCTAACCAGCTGGAACCAGCTTGACCAGCTTGAACCAGCTTGATTATCACCTAGACTAGCTTGAACCAGCTTAATAACCAGCTTGACCAGCTTGATTTTCTTGTTCTTTTTTTCCTTTCTATACGGCCGGCTTTGCGCCCCTGATCTACGTGAGGAAGAAGCGTGCGAGCGGTCCCGATCCCGCGTAAAGGGGTATTCACACGAGGGAGAAATCCCGGGGATTTCTCCCCGGCACGCGCATCCAACGACGAAAACGTCAGGCTTTACGATGTGCAAAAGCCTCGCGTTTTTATCTCGTGATGCGCGCGTGCCGGGGAGAAATCCCCGGGATTTCTCCCTCGTGTGAATACCCCTTAAACAACCGGCGCATCCGAACAGATCCAACTCTACAACCCGGCCGGTCCGGCGCGCACTCACCAACCTCGCCGCGCATGCGCGCCGCCGAGTTAAAAGAAATGATATAGCCCGCTTCTGTAAACTTCCGACAACCTCCCTGACATTCCGCGGATCAAGTGTGGAGGTGTTGGAGGCGCTCCAAGGGGCGGGTGCTGCCTGAGATTCACGAGCGGAAGATGATCAACTCGAGCCATATTTGCGAGCGGAATACGCGCGCAGCAAATGAAGCGATTTTGGAGGTCTCGAGATGTGCGAGCAGAATTCACCAATAATGCACTTTACTTCCTTACTGAGTCATCACGTTACACAATGATCTTTTCCATGCTTTACATAATCGTTGAGAAACAAAAAAATTACAGCCACACAAACACGCAGTGTGCCGGTGAGGTATACGGCAAGGGGGCATAATTTACGGCAGAGCTGGGCAGAGATACGCCAAAAAGTATTCGGGAATACAAATGCAAAGATACATGTGTTTTAATGCCCAAAACACAGATACTGAGTTACATTTGTCTTTTATACAAGTATCCCTATTGATACTTCTGCAAAACCGGCGAAAAAGTATTCGAAAAAGTATAGAGATAATTATAGAAATACATTTGTTCCCGAACGGTGGTACGCGGGGAGGGTGAAATTCGTGGCGAATGCGAATGCTAATATATGTTAGTGCTCTTCTTTTTGTTCTATTTTATCACTATTCCTCACATCGAACTCTTGATTTTTCATTAATGCTGCTAAAAAAAACATGTCACCCCCTCTGAACCACTTAGTTACAGAACGGTAACGACTGCGTACTATGCTTGACAAAATGCGTCTGCCCGCAATGAACCCTGTTTTGCAGTGAGGGCGCATCCCAAACTCTCGTCTTGTATACTTCTGACTCACTCACAGTATGGGGAGATCGGACAACAGGGCCGCATTCTTTCTTCACTCAACTCCTCTACAGCGTTCGCTCTGCTAAATCGGAAAGAGTTGAGGGCTTTGTAAGAGAAGCTGGTTTTGTTATTCTTGCAAGTACCCTTCTTTAAACCACAGATTATTTTTTATGTTGGTGACTGAGGTGGATTGTGTTATAAGCGGGTTTATATTATAAGTTCCGAAGCAACTTGTACCATATAGATGTTTTTACCTCTTAAATTTATTTTGAAAATGGCAACAAATGTAACGAGACACCTAAGCCTGGCAAAGTGTCGCGATACAAGCGATACATTGCAAATGCATGTCGCTACTGAGATACAAATACTTTTTTTCTTCAAATGTATCTCGATACATACATACAGAAACTCGAAAATATCTCTAAGTCTAAAATACTATCGCGATACTGCCCAGTCCTAATTAGCGGGGGTAATTGTCACGATACTTTGAAAAATAAATTTAAAGTTTTTAATTATCTTTCTGACTAGTAAAGATAAGGATGTACTTTCGAAGAGAAACATGTTGAGCGTCATCGAAAACCATTAATTTATTAAATTTAACAAACCTGTGTGGAGCGCTGTGAGCGCGGTGGTGCGCTAAATTTACCACTCGTTCAACGCGTGCAACGCTGGAGGTGCAAAGCGGGAATGAGTAACATAACACATACACGCGAGAATGTTTTTTTTCACCACTGGCCACTTTTTAGTGGTTTTCAATGACGCGCAGCATGCTTGTGATTCTAAACATATATTTATCTTAAAGTGTGTTTAGCTTTCATTATATAGTAGTAAGTAGACAACTTCAGCTAATTAACCGACTTTTCTTGTCGATTCTGCCCCCTATATTTTGTCCCTTTGGTAGTAGTCGTACAAATAACCTGTATAAATATGCCACATTGCTGTAGCTTTTGCTGCTTTTTTAGAACAAACCTTTAAAACCTTATAAAAGGCGCCCTTTATAGTTATTCACAGTAGGCGTAGCTAACGATAGGCTGCTTAGTTTTATTATTTTACAGTACCTTCAAGTGAGTAATACAAAACCGTGAATATATCATAACTCTGTCTACAAGTTTTGGTAAAAATGTGTATTTGAGACACAATTTGTAATGATTTTGCGTCATAAATAAAACGTTTAAGAGGATAAAATTACGTTTAACAATATTCAATTGAGAGAAGAAATAGTTTTACCACCAAACTCTGCACGAAATGCCGTTGGTAAGATGTAGTTTTTCTGTACAGAAAAACCTTCACTTTCTAGGAAAGCAGCAATTCGATCGTGGGCCTTGAATTCTTTCATAGCAGTTTCAGGGTTGTTCCAAAGGTATCGGGCAAGTGCGTTAAGGCTCTCCGACTTGTCATCGACAGCAGCGCTCACAAGTTCCATAAAGTCAGACATCTGTAAAAATATTGAAAGAATGTTCGTTATATCAGAACCTCAAGAAAACGAAAATTACTGGCTACTTTCAGAAAAACTAGGCGAGTAGCGGATAATTTTTCGACAATTCGAGTAGTCGTTTTCAATCAATTGTCTTCAATAACCTTCATTGTGCGATATGATTCAGTAAAATACTTAAGTATTAAAATATCAAATTAAAATATTTTTATGCCATCACTGCGTAAGGAATTAACGAAATGAAACAATTTGGAGATTAAAAACGTTTTTCTTGGAACACAGTATATTCATTTATTGTAACTTGTTTGGTCGATATGAGATATACTGATATATATTGATTATGAACACGATGGGGGAGCTATTTATTTTTAAATATTTTAATTAGGCTCACACCACATTACATCTAGAAAAATATTCTTACCAACTAAATAGGGCAATAAAAAGCAATGTTATATTCTGTACGAACGGCAATGTCTTATTACGGATTACAATTCAAAGTCTTATAAATTAGCACACGCTCACATAAAACATGGAAGATATAAAACTTGTTTCTGAATTCATAAGTAAATTAACAATAAGCTTGATCGTACACAGCTAGGTTACAATAAAAATATTTGCAGATGACATATTAATTGTCAGTTTTCTGTGGACGTCTAAAAAGACAAGCGAATTTGATCGATAACTCAAGATACATATTACGATAATTTGAGGAACGCTATAACTCACAGAGCTCGTAGTTTAAGTTTAAGTTCTCTAAGTAAGTAAAACACCAGTCTAGAACACTTTCAAGCAATGAACTTTAGCGGATGAGATTGCGCGAGAACGTATGCGGAGCATCAAATTCCATTCGTCGCTTTTTAGATTACTATACTCGAGGTGCGCACTATTTTAAATATCAGTATTTAAACAGGCATTTAAGGTTGTCTATGCATTTTGTATACCTGGTGTTTTAGGCGTCATAGAATATTTAAAGAAAAAGATCCGTGAAAAAGTCACGAACCAAAGCCGTTTGTGCAGCTGGATTATACGGCCGGCGGGAAAGTATGATGTTTCCGCGTGCGTGGCCGACTGGCAACGCACCCGACTCGCGCGCAGAGGCACCAGGTTCGATTCCTGAGGGACGCGAAACTTTTATAATTGGGCTGTAATAATAGTTTCTACAGCGTCCGAGAAGCTTCTCGTTTAGAGTGTTCGAATGCCGAACATTCTAGTTCGAATGTTCGAGAAATTTATGAGTCTACAAAAGGGGCTCCGCGTCGCTATACGAAGTCAGTTCTTCGCCAGCGCTCGATCCTGTGCCAACATCACGCTCGCCTAGGACGCCTGTTCTTAATCTTATTTTGTTTTGGGCACACGTTCGCCTAATTAAACGTTCAGTGCTTCCTGTTTATTTCCTGTTCTTTTGGTCACCCCCGCGCCAATATATAGCCTGGCCGTCACGATAAGTCTGTTACTCAACTAACATGTATTAAGTAGCTTTTTAATTAGAGAATATCAATATGCGCTTTCAATTAGAGAATATCGGAGCTACATAAAAATATTACAAACTCAGTAAGCTTTGCAATACCTTCGAACGCCAGGGAATTTCGGCCACGTTGTTCTCTAAATTAATACTCGCGAACAGGTGCAACGCTAACGTTAAAAAAAAAAAAAGAAGGCGCGGTGGCGTTTTTTTTTTGTTTTTTTTTTAGCTTTACGCTTGCATGTTGGACGAATGGTAAATTTAGCGCGCCACCATATTTCCCACGCACTCCAACTCCTTATAACATTTACTAATTTTGTGGTTTTTATTATGCTCAGGATCTTTCTTATTGGAACAAAATGTTTACCTTCGCTTACTTAAAATTTTAGTCAAGACATTTGGGCCGTAAACCTCGCCTTCACAAACGGCATTAGCGTAGCTATCACGGGTTTATTTAAATAGATTCCTAAAAGCCGAAAAACACCACGGAATATTGCACATTATGAAGCGGACATTTTATTCTTACTAACTAATGCAAAGACGGTATTTCTAATGCAATTTTGAATAAATTAAATGTTGAGCACTATCCTTTAACAAGTTTCCGTGACTTCAGTGCAACTAACAGCAACTAAGAGAAGGAAAGAACAATAAATGGACGTGAAGGGTAACATAATTACTTCTATCTTGGGGTACTTTTAATTTGGTGTATGGAACGATGCCGAAGTAGCGCCATATTTAGAAAAGCTTGCTCGCTCACGTGTAATAAAACGTTTGTTAGTGCTTCGCGAATAGTCACACTCCACTTGGATATTGGAAATGTATTGTTCTTCATCATATTCTAGCTTCTTTCTTGCGGCAAATATATCTATTTTCCAAGTCTTCCATTTACCTATTAAGTACTTAATTGTCGTAACTCAAAGCCTACTAACAAAAAAAAAAACGCGACTGGGAAACAGAAAGACGGGCGAACACAGAAGTCTCAAACACACCTCAGTTGAGCTCTGTTTGCAACATCTGTTTTTGTCCGTCCTTTCTTTTTCCCAATTTCGGGGTGTTTTTTTTTTTTTTCATTAAAACTCCACCAGCTCCCTTTCGCCCTAACCTTCCGTAGAGCTCTTTTTTTTATCTAGACACGACCCTTTTTGTTTGGTGTTTGATTTAATTTTGTGGTGTTAAACTTGTATTAAAAAATTATTTGTCGACTGTGAAATACTTCAGTTAATAGTTTTATTTTTGTATGTTACAACTTTGCTCGGAAGTCTAATTGCGTCGTTAAGTTCATTCCCGGTATACATTTCCCCAATGGTGCAGTCAAAGATAATAATTGTGAACTTTTAAGACAACGTAAGAATTTAAAAAGAAGAAACACGAGAAGAATGGTTATAATGCAATTAAATGCAAAGGTGCAAGCGAGCTGGATAAGAATGACGAAAATACTCCCTGGAGAAGTGGAACAAGAGGGACAATTGACGCGGCTTCCGCAAGCTCCAAGTAAATGACCTCTCCGGACTATTATTCATTTATTTATTTCTTTTTTTACGGGAAAGACTCTTCGAGATTTTTCCAGAAAATGTGAAAACACACAGATAACCAGGAAAGTTATCTTAGAACATTCTTAGGGCTGCTAAAACACGCTCTAATTTCCGGGAAAAGATTTGGACTCCACTTTTTATATCAGTGTTGAAAGTCAAACACTCATTCATGTCGCCACATGTTCCCAAATAAAGCCGTTTATACTTCGCAAAAACACACACAAAAAAAAGCTTGGGGTACGCTTAATGCGATACTTAGCTAAATTTGAAACATACCCGTTGTGTTCGGAAAAGGGCTGAGTATGATTCACAATATCCGTAATTGACAATCGCACGCTTGCACATTGAGCTTGATGGTTGTATCGTTATAAACGGCCCACTCTGGAGAGTACGTCATATCCGGCGAAACCGTGACGTAGTTTGTCTCGGGATGAGCAAAGCTGCGGTGAGGCTGACGTCGTCAGGATTCCCTATCCACCCAAGCGGTCGTAGCACGTCAGCGATCGGGCCACCGGAACTAACCGCGAATCTGCTTTTGTGTACATTTTTAGGGACGGGTCAATCTCCAGTAATCTTGTGGATGGAGAATAGCGGGCCACGCAAAAGAGGGTCCCGTTAAGTGGGGAGTTTCTCATCTCTCGTGCTGGCCGTAGAGCTGTCGGGATGACGTCAGGTGCCAAGCATGTATAGTTCTATGGGAGAGAGTTAAGCGCCGTTCACACACTTGGAACCGAGTAGGACAGAAAGAGAGAGACAAGGCCGGTTTTTAAGCCTCTCACGACATCTTAGGACCAGCTCCGCAGCAGCGCACACGGTCCTAAGACGTCGCAAGAGGCTTAAAAACCGGCCTTGTCTCTCTCCGTCGTTCTGAATTACGAGTGTGTGAATGAGCCCTTATCGCCACTACCCGTCAACGGTCCTAGACGGGCATTACAAACGAGGCTTGAGCGACATCCACCAGGTGCTCTTTGCTAATCGTTTGTTTCAAAATTCCTTTTTGCGTCTTTTTAACAAAAATATTGGTGTGGCCGATGTGACACTGCTCCCTCGGACACGTATAGACCAAAAAATAAGCGCCGAGATTTCGGTGTAGTATCCCTTTAAGCGCTATCGGGTCCCGTTTGCAAAGCCTTCTCATTGAACCGCGCTTGTTCTCAAGCCGTGCACGCGTCTTTTCATTAAAATTTTCTCGAAAATTTGGCGGAAAATATTTTGCAGGAAAACGGTCCGCTAAATTTATGGGAAAATTTCCGCCGCAAAATTTAGCGGGTCGATATAGGGTCATGATTTCACAGCCACGCGTGAGCTCCCAGGGGGCTGCACCGCGCTGCATAAAGAGTTTTTCGCTCACACCGCCGCCGACACGGAAACCGACGCCGACAACGATGCCGGATAATTTGCAATACGAGCTTCTAAACGCTATCGTGTTAAAACTCCCGGGTGTTGATAAACAAGGGTTCCTGAAACCGTCCATAATACAGGCCGTAAATAATGAAACAGCTAACAACGTGGTCGCTTTTGTGATCCGTTCCTGTTTCTTTTGTTTCTGCGTCATATTAACTATGCAGGTTAAATGTTTCAAGAACAACGTGAACCAACCCCGTTAGGGAAAAGTTATGCATCGGAACACTAAACGTGTTTGAACCTTACTGGGTGTTCCCACTTTTCAATTAAATCCCATTAAACGTGTAATTCTTTCAATTTTCCACAATTCATGATTTTAGCAGACAAACTAAACTAACTGCCAAAATAAAATAAAATAAATTCACATTGTCGCTATATTAGAAAACATTCCCGCAAAATGCAAGCCTGCCAAGCGACCTCATTGCATTCCATAACCAGAAGCCTAATTTATATAAATAAAACTACGAACTTTTTCTTTAAAACCGGCAAGCTCGATATTCTGCGTATAATGCCGGAACTTGCTACTTACATTCAAGCCTAAGCTGAATTAGAGCACCGGTAGAAAACAGTGTAGTATTAAAGCTTCAACTTACGTCGCCGTCACA